GAGTCATATAAATAAAATTTAAAAAGTTAGATACCACGTAACAGTCATATATAATAATACATCATCTTACAAAAGTCTGTTAAGTAGTTTATAGAATATTGTATTTTTTAGAAATGTATAGTTCAGACTTTGGTAAGATGATGTATTATTATACATGACTGTTACGTGTTATCTAACTTTTTAAATTTTATTTATATGACTCTTACAATGTCCCTTGTATTTTTCGTTTATGCTAATAATATAAGATATATCATTTTACTAAGAATTATTTTCTTGCAGCTGCTTTCTTTTAACTCTCGAAGACGATAGTATAAAGGGTATATACAGTACGCTAAAAAAGTGCTCACTCATTAGTAAATATGCTGGAGGAATAGGACTCAATGTACATTGTATTCGTGCCAAAAACGCAGAAGATACTGGTACAACGAATGGCATGATTTCCATTTTAAAGTTGTATAACGAAATAGCCATTTATGTTGATCAAGGTGGAAATAAAAGACCAGGAGCGTTTGCTATTTATTTGGAGCCATGGCATGCTGATATTTTTGATTTTTTGGAACTTAAGAGAAATATTGGTATTTCTTTTTTATTAATATTTTTTTTATACATCAATTAAATCAATATTTGAAAATGTTATTGATTTATTTTATTATATAAATTGAATGATGATATCCGTGATATTTTATTATGGTTCGAAATGTATAACATGATTTTTAACAGGTGATGGAAACATGCGAGCCAGAGATTTATTTTATGCTCTATGGATACCAGATCTTTTTATGGAACGTGTGTATAATGACGAGATGTGGAGCTTAATGTGTCCATATGAATCTCCTCGCTTAGCTGATGTTTGGGGCGATGAATTTAAAGAATTGTATATTAGGTATATGTATTACTAGTTTTTTTCTATAAATTATTTAATTACAATTATTTGACATTATAATTTATATTTTTCATGTACTAACATGTAAAACACTTTTAGATATGAAAAGGAAGGTCGTTATAGAAAGCAAGTGGAGGCCAGGTCTGTATGGCTCGCCATTCTCAGGTCTCAAGTAGAAACCGGAACACCTTATATGCTTTATAAAGATCATTGCAATCGAAAATCGAATCATCAGCATATAGGCACTATCAAATGCAGCAACTTGTGCACCGAAATTGTTGAATACTCCGGTCCTGGAGAAGTCGCTGTGTGTAATTTAGCATCTATCGCTGTCAACATGTTTGTTAATACAGACACGAAAACTTTCGATTTTGATAAACTTAAAACAGTCGCGAAAATCGTTACTCGTAATCTAGATAAAGTCATCGACGTTAACTTTTATCCTATCGAAGAAACGAAAACATCTAATCGTAGACACAGACCTATTGGTAACATTATTTCCACAAGTTTCATGTGATTAATACAAGAAAGCGCACGATAAAATTGAAAATTGTGTATTTTAGGTATTGGAATACAAGGTTTAGCAGATGCGTTCCTACTAATGCGATATCCCTTCGAGAGCAAAGAGGCGAAAGAACTTAACATTAAAATTTTCGAAACGCTTTATTATGGTGCCTTAGAAGCCAGTTGTGAATTGGCTGCGGAAAAAGGCACTTACGAAACGTATCAGGGTAGCCCAGTCAGCAAAGGAGTAAGTATTTATATTTTAATCATGGAACACGTCTTAGAGTACATTGCAATTGAATAATAAAACTTTTCCAGATCCTCCAATATGATATGTGGAACGTTAAGCCAACAGATTTATGGGATTGGTGTGAATTGAAAGCGAAGATCGCGGAACACGGTATAAGAAATTCCCTTTTAATAGCACCTATGCCAACGGCCTCGACGGCACAGATTTTAGGGAATAACGAATCCATTGAACCATATACAAGCAATATCTATGTGAGGCGCGTATTGTCTGGAGAATTTGTCATTGTCAATCCACATCTACTGCGAGATTTAACCGCTAGAAATTTATGGGACGAAGATATGCAGAACGAGATACTCGCAAATTTTGGATCCGTTCAAGTAAACGTCTTTAAATATTTCTTACATATTCTTATTGTTCAAATTATTTGAGCATAATTCTAAGGAAGCGTATATATGCATTTTTACAGAATATTGAACGTATCCCCGATGATTTGAAAGAGCTTTATAAGATTGTCTGGGAGATACCACAAAAAGTAATTCTCGAAATGGCAGCCGATCGAGGAGCTTTTATTGATCAATCACAGTCTCTAAATATTCATATAGGAGATCCGACAACTGAGAAACTTACTTCGATGCATTTCTTCGGCTGGAGAAGTGTAAGTGACATTACCAATTGTTTTATCAGTTTCAGAATTTCTTAAATTTATGCATTACTCAGATAGGTGATTGATTAATTCTTATAAATTACTTTAACACCTTGTCATCGTACAGCGTAAAAAATTTAATGCATAAGTTTGTATAAAAATAAATTGTTGCTTACAGGGCCTAAAGACTGGCATGTACTATTTGAGAATAAAACCAGCCGCAAATCCTATACAATTTACAGTGGACAAATCAAAATTACAGAATCGCAATTCTGAATCAAATGCTTCCAATATCAACACTTTTAGTGTCAACAATACTTCTATTCAATCACCCAACAAAGACAACGATGCCGATGGTGAAAAACGAAAACAATTGAGTCAACAAGCAAGTAAGAACTTGGAAGCAATGCTTGCTTGCTCGCGTAAAAATAAGGAGGCCTGTACGGCATGCAGCTCCTGAGTATTTATCATTTTTGAGCTTGTATCGAAAATTCATAAAGATTTTTATATTTGTTCTGCAAACAGAAGCATATTTTTAGAGTGTATATTTTAAATTTAATTCCATTGTTAAACGGATGAAAGATGTGGTAAATATTCACCTTTACACACCCTGTTCCAAATGACCTCCGAGTGACCTTGACCCTCAAGGAGGTCAAGATCACTGACCTTTTCCGTCGCTCGTTACTCATTGAAAAGTTATGAACAAAACAATTTTTATGAATTTGTATTTCTAAAGCAGTGAATTTCTATTTTAAACAGGGTTGGCACAAGTCAGAGAAGTCAGGGATTTAGCAGATTTTTGAAAAAACAAAATAGCTGTAAAAAGAAATTTAGAACATCTGTTTAGCTCGGTGTCTGTTTCATTTATATCACGGCGCCACTGTCGATAAAATCGACTGTGATAAAATTAAGAAAGAATTTAACATTGTTTGTTATAAGAAAGAAGTAATTAATTTATGCAAGCAGTTTGTTAGGGAAAATAAAAAAAATTGATCATTTCTGGAAAAAACTTACTTCAGGGTCAGGATAATTTTCAGAATTTGTATGTTTTTATGAAAAAGGTCCTTATTCTGAGTCATGATCAAAGATTTGTGGAAAGAGGATTTTCAATAAACAAGGAATGTATTGTTGAAAATCAATTGCCTAGATCTCTAATATCTCAGACACAAGTTTACAATAGCCTTGAGGCTGCTGGTGGTTCACTAAGCTTACAATAGATAAAAAGATGATTTTTATTTATTGTAATAGTGACGCTATACATACTCGTTTAAAAACTTTAGTATCATTTAGATCATACCGGTTAGTTTTCCCTAATTACGGTTAGATTGTTAAAGTACGTACTACTAATTAACATCAATTTTAGAATAAAATCGTGAGAAAAAAAGTTTTCTTCTAAATTTGAGAATTAATTTTTTTTTTATGATACTTTAATTCAAATGGTCACCCATTTCAAGTTGATTTTATCTTACCGAAATGTGAAAGATGTATGGTGAAGCATTGGAAAAGCAGCGCTCTAAGAAAGAACAAGAAAATGCAAAAATTGCTAAAAAAA